AGGTTATCAAAGAATAATTAGAGCTGCTATATATCCATACGGTGGCGGACGGCGGTTTCGGGCGGTGGATTCGGTGGCGGATATGGTGGCGGATATGGTGGTTATGGACATCGAGGTGGTTATGGACATCGTGGAGGTTACAGAGGATGTGGAGGAGGGTGTGGTGGTGGCAGACGTCCCTTCGGTGGTGGCTCATTTGCTAATAGTGGAGCTCATGCCGGTTCAATAAGCACACCATTTGGCAGTGGTTCCTTCGCAAACTCGTTCGCTAATGCTGGGTAAATATTGCCAAATAATTTCTTACGGATTAATTCTATTAAAATGCTTTCACAAATAATTGTGAACTCATAAATCATAGATGTAAATTATTTACTTATTATATTTGTGTCTATTATCACTCATGTTGCTATAACGTAATTGTTAATTAATTAGCATGTTCACAAAATATGTTCTGATTGCAGCTCCCGTGGATACGGACGATGAGATTAAATTTTACGAAATTACTGCTATTATTAAAAATGGATTCTTGCGACTACAAATCAATTGTTTTGTGCGCTTATTGAGCGTTTATTTTTATATAATAAATTTGTTTAAAAATAAAATTTCTTTGCTTCATTTATCCGCAGTCTCATGATTTTTAGAGTTATATTATCATATTAAAATAACAACTGTCAAAAGATCTCGTCAACTGTGGCTAGTATGATAATTTAATGTGTCACATGGTGAAAATGTTTAATTCAATACTTTTTAACGAGCACCGATACTTTTTCGTATCTACTTTATCAGTTTTTAGCATGCCAATGAATAATTCAAGCCATTAATTGTAGTATTTATTATTTAATCTACTACGGTCGAAGTCCAATATTCTTGATCGTAAATTGCAGTTTTAGGTGCAGAAACGTGATAGACAATGGATATAATTGTCTTCCTATCTAAATTCAAAATGCAACGCATCACTTTTATTTCGCGTTAAAATTGACATTCTTATTTCCGTTTAGATATTAAACGTTTCGAACAAAGTATGATGCGTCATGAGATCTCATAGACAAAAATCGCCGATGACGTCTCATGACGCATCATGCTTTATTCGAAAAACTTGATATCTAAACGGAAATAAGAATGTCAATCTTGACAATATAAAATGCAACAATGTATAATAATGTATAGATAATAATGGTTAAATCAATGCGTGTTAACGTAACTTCGCACTTTTGATACACAGTGATATATTTGTCGTTTATTCTCCGCCGGATGTTTCCGTTTAATGTTTTGCAAAACATTGCACACGCAAGTGCCTTTGTTCATACTAACGGTGCCTATAAAACGGGTCCGTCCATTAGATGGTCTCATTAGAGTTTCATTTATCGAAGCAAGTTCGACAAGCAGCCGGACAATGAAAATAAAATTCCTCGTGATTATATTTGCTACTATCATAATTGCAGTAAGTTCTTTATATTATATTTTTGTGTCTCGTCTATCTTTTCAATTATTATTTAAACGTAAATTCTCATATTGAATATAAATTTATTTAAATATCAATTCTAGTTAATGCCGATAATATGCATAACTATAAAAATTTCGCTTTCAGGCGCAATGCCGCTCCGTTACGCCTCCAAATGCAGGAGATGTAGGTAGGATTTGCATGTTTCATTTACATAAATATTAGAGATTAAGTATTCACACTTTTGATGATATGTATCATGCAAGCAATTTGTGTCGTAATTATTTGATTAGAGAAGCAAAGCGCGGCTTGCATCTTACATCGAAGTGCGCGCATACACCGAGATACAAGTCAAGATGCACCTTCATCGAATCGGGTAGAGATTACTGCTTCGCGTAACTCTTTGATTTTAACAGACGAGAAGACTCTTGTTAACACGCCGAAGCAATTGAAAGAGCTGATTTCGTCGTATGAAGAGTATTTCGCAAAGCTCATAAACTTTGTCTTAAAAATTAGCAAAAATAAGGATAATAATGAACAAGAGGTCGGTACATTGTAATATACATATATAACCAGATAATAAGAAATAATTATGTAATATATTTAATTATGATTAGTGTAGTATTTCAGTTAAATAAGCACATTGTATTTCAGATACAATTTTTAAATCGATTAACCTTGCTCATTGAAGAAATTACTAAAGACTTGTCAAAAGTAAAGAATATGCACGCTAAGCTTGACAACGATACGGACTCTACTTTGCAGGCATCGAGTAGCAAACCGACGATGAGGAATGTTTATAATGTAAAAGATCTAATCAATACTATAAAGGAAATTGATATTGTTTATCAAAATGGAGAGATTACTGACGAGCATATTCGCATCAGTAAGTAGCCAAAAATTTTTAGCAAGATACGTTGTTACATATAAAAGTAGTATAACATTAAATACATCAATAGAAAATTATAAATAGCAGATTACAAAAGTGATTTAAAAATTTATAGAACGCGCCACTGAAGGATATAAAGACGTTTTGTCTTTTGCAACGTCGGAAGAACAAATAAGTGATATGCTTGATATTCAACGTCAACTATTGCAAATTCGGAAATGTTTGGACAAATTATGCAAGTAAGATTTTGAAGAAAAATTAAATACAGACTGCAGCGCTAATATATTGGCTAAATAAAATAATTTATTTTGGTGTTTCAGAAAACATCATCTGACAATTACTTCGGAAGTAAATTCCGATAATGACATTTCTTCCGTCAGTGAATCAAATAAAGTATCGATTACATAAAATAAACACACTGAAGAGAAAAGCTAAGACGCATTATTCTAGTAAAGATTTAATATAAAATGTATGAATAGTAGTAATTAAATTTTAATATATATTTTCTCTGTAATACACGTATAAAAAATATAAAAGATGTATTTTAATGATGTATTAATAAATAAATTTCAATCTTAATTATGAATGTATTATATTAGAAATACCACCTCAAATAATATGGACACAAAGTAAATAAACAATTTTATAATAAAATTAAAAAAAATATATGTATTATTTAAATTGCTTAATTTTTGTTTATATTCTAGTAACTTGTGTATCTCGTCATTATATGTTGAATATTCATTTATCTATGCGATGTATTTATTCGATCTGTTGCTAGCGATGTGTTTTTCAACCTCGTTATTTGATACGTTTGGTCGATAAAACATAGTCGCTGCTGACGACGAAGTCCTCATCGCGACAGAAGCACTCTTTTGTTATTAATTGGTAAGTTTTTTCCGATTTAGTCAAACTTGTCGATCATGCTAAACTCATTCTAAACAAATAAGGGTCAGTGAATTTGGTGTGATAATCTTTCGTCAGATTTTAATGTTCCAAATCATTTCCATATGGCAGAAGAGACACACAATGATGATCAAAGCCATTCGCAAAATTTCCGTGCTCTTGTTGCAGTAATAATTTTTTAGCGATGATGACTTTTTAATTAACTAAATGGGCTGCTGTTATTTGCAATTGTTTATACTACATATATTTCTATCCAGAATAAAATATTTTATATTTTGCTTAACTTTATTTTATTATCAATTTCCGCGTTTCTAATTAACAGATCTACAAAATTTTGAATAATAAAATATATCTTATTATAGCTTTTTAGATAACGCAAATTTTCAAATTTATTAAGCTTTTTAATAGAATAACATGAATTACCTGATATTATATTCTACAAAGTCTGAAAAACTGACGCTTATATCAGTAATTACAAGCTGGTATATTTTTGATCAATGTCTGTAGATTAAAGTGAGATTTATATGTATATGTGCTACGTGAATCATGCACTAGAACTTACAAAAGTTAAATTGAGAATCTATAGTTTGCGAACAAAAGCGTCGATCATTATCGCCGTACGATCTAATTTGCTCCACTACTATTGTTTTCGTTTCTTATTAGCTAGAATCCTAGAAATAGCACTTATTGGTAGTCACTTTATTAAACTCACGTATATTAAAATATATAAAAAGTAAATAAAAACTTTATAGTTTGCAGCTGTAACAAAACATTTTTGCATAAACAAATAGTAAAAAATAAAATAAGTAAAAAAATGGTAATCAAGAAAGATATATGGCACGTAATAATGCGAGAAAATTGAAGAAATTTTACTTTAACATTATGCTTTTAGAATTGCATTTTCATGTTATAAATTGTCTTCTTGCGTTTACCAGAGCAATTGTCAAGGCATGCACATTGTTAAGAATGATTACTTCAGATAAGACATACATTATTCAAAATAATGGTTCTTTTAAAGAGTTCCATCTTATATGTCAAGCGTTTTATTATCATTTGTATAAATTTCACGTTTAAAAGTGCTTGTTGAAATACAAAAGATTTAAGTATGTGTCATTATCTGAGATCGATCTCTTCTTTTGACTAAAATAATTATACGCAGATACATATTATTTACATTTGAAGATATGCCATTAAAGTTTGAAGTTGCTTTTTAATTAAGAAATGAAAAAAACATGTGTTTAATTTGCAAAATAATTATATATAATTTTTGAGAAACAGAAATATATTCAAACAAATTTCCTTCTGAAGTTTCTTTAATTTTTTTACATTCCTTGCGTGTTAAGCTCATGCAAATTCTAAATAAAATGTGCCAGTTGCCTTGTGTCGGACATATATATGGCGTGTGCTATTTTCCTAATGAGCAAAGTTTTACACTTTATTTCACAAAACGTTTGCGAAACATGAACTTTCTACAATGTATAAAATCTATTACATGGAAGACATGATATTTCATATGTAATACAATTTGAACTGTTTGCAATGTGCGATGTAAATCACACTATCATAAATCTCAGTTTGTTTTCCTATGCAAATTGTATCTCCTTTCTCCGTGCATGCAGCCCAAGTTAAACGCCCATAAGTGTGCGATCTAAATTCATTGGAATGTTATTTGTGCCACGAAAATGCATACAAGATTTATTCACGAACAAATCAACTAACGTTATAGAGAAATTATGCAAATGCGATCATAAATAATAATAATAATAATTTAGTCGCACAAGAGAAAGACAATCTTTTGAGTCATAAATGGCTATACACAATTTTCGGCAATTCTCCTTGAAAAAAAAGAGCCGCCGCCCTCCTCAAATTATTTCTTATCGATCAATCGACTTGAACGGCTATATCGGTCCGTGGTAACGGTCTCTATTTTCATACATTTTTTCCCATTTATATTAAGCGGATTTGCATTTTTATTAGAATCGCGGTAATTACCTTATTTAAGGCAACATTGGAGCAGCAATAAGAAAAATCTTGCCGTACAATTGTCTACGCAATTATTTTAATCCTATCAATATTGTCGTCATAATTTATTGTCACATCGCGAAATATTATCTATTTGATAATATACAAGTTTAATTTTTAAAATACAAAAAAAAAAGATTTCAATTAATTAGAAAACTTTCAGTCACTGAACCGTGATGTCTGAACGACGTAGCGTCACGCCAACGGGCGGAGTTCAGCCGGGCGTCGGCGTCGGCGTCGGCGCTGAGCGTCCCGCCGGTATAAGCGTCCGTGCCGGCGCGACGCTCATGAAGAGCGTTTCTATATTCCTGACGAGCGGTCGCAAAGCGTCCGTGAACTCGAAGCGGCAGATCTCCGCCGCGTCTGGCAAAGCCGAGCCGAGAAGAAGACGTCGCAGAAAGATGCCGGAAGGCGGAGGCGCTAGGAACTCCGCGTATATCATCAAAGTGATCGAGTCCCTTAAAAAAAAGACGAGATTTTCCAGGCGAGTTCATAAAAACACATCAATTATAATTATATTTTTACAATTAAATGTTAAAGACTTGATTTTTTTAACCACCGGTTGCGTGAAACAAATTATTTCAATTAGGGTGGAGCTGGATAATCTCTGCAAGCTTTACAAGAAGTTAACTAGCAATTCTAGTCAACAAGTTGAACAATCAGCATCTATCGGTAAAAAGCCGCAATCGAGGTCAGTTATCGAGGTAATTAAACTACTTGCAGTCAACAATTAACTGATGCTGTAAATCTCTAAAAAAAGTATATAAATTGTTAATTAATACAGATTACAAACATTTTAAAAATTATCTTGAACTCATTATTCAGGGAATCGATAGAACAATTTTTCGAGAACTTCTTCACAACACATTTCACGTAATCACAGAAGACTCTCTGGTGGAGCGTTTATTCTGTTGTTGGGACCGCGAGATCGAAGGTGTTATCAGACTGGAACCGTGGATCATAGGACTAGATGTGTTCTTGCGGGGTAGCTTGCGTGACAAAATCACTTTTTGCTTTCGCGTGTACGATTTGAACAACGATGGATATATCACAAAGGATGAAATTTTCCAATTACTCAAGTAAAAATATTTAATATTTTAGATACTTAAGTTACGTAGAAAAATTAGATAGCGGTTAACAAAAAGCTTATAAAACGTTATCTATAACAATGATGTATAAAAAAAATAAGCCAAAGTAAAAATTATCAAAATAACAATCGCCAACAACTGCAGGTACAATCCGTCCCAATCTTTAACGACAACGCTAAATATTTAATATGTTAGCAATGCTGCTTTTATTTATTATACAACAATTGCGACATATACAAAAAACGTTCTATTAAATTTATTATAATATTAATTTCAAAGTAGAATAATATACATTTTGCCATTTATATTTCTAGAAATTGCTTGATAAAGCAACCCGGTGAAGAGGATCCGGACGAAGGAGTGAAAGATTTATCGGAACTGGCTTTAAAGAAACTCGACGTCGATCACGATGGCAAAATATCATTTCGAGATTACGAGACCGCGATCAAAGAAGAACCCTTACTACTGGAAGCATTCGGACAGTGTTTGCCTACTGAAGAAAGCTGCGCATCCTTTTTGACGACTCTTCAACCTTAAAAATACGCAAACTCATCTATGCTTCTAAAGATTGTTATCGCATAATAAAGATTTTATTCAATACACAAAACATCTTTAATCATTGATATCAATTATTTAAAATAATATAAAGATATACATTTATTGTATCAATTATTTCGCTCTAACAACCGCGACGGCTCGATTGCTTTTTTTTCTCCAAAACTTCTATTATATCACACTATTAGCATTTATCGATATGTGTAAGAAATAGTTCAATTAAATACTTGTATGTGTGATTGAGCAGAAAATGTACAAATATATCAATTACTATAACATGACGTTGAGATATTTTATTAAATCTTTTGTGCTTGTCAACGAGAACTTATTTGCAATTAATGATCGATGGAAAACAAACGATTTATTATATGTAATAAATTTATTTTATAAACGTCAAAAAGATATTTTTTATATACTTACTTTTATTATCTTTCTGATTTTGCGAGAAAATCAATTGATCGCAAATAACAAACCAGAACAGATTCGGTTGTCCGCTTTGATTAGTTTTATGGATGTAATCACGACGGTGAACTTTTATTATAATCAGCAATTTTTGAATTCAATTTTAAAACTCGCCATAAACATATATATAAAATATTCTGTATATTAAAAAATATATTGTAGCTTAAATCTGAAATTTTATTTTATACTTCAATAATTAATATTAACTAATTATTATTGATTAATTATTAATATTAAAACTATT